AGAAACAATATGGAGTCGAATGTTGCTATTTTATGTTTATATTATATACGTTAAATGTTATGCGTCAAAAGCTTCGTGGGACCACCTATATTTTAAAAAGCAAATTAATAAACAAAAATAATGTAGAGTAATTACAATTGCATTCAATTTCACAATTTTGTTCCGCTTAACACTGCTCAATTCATTATCAAAATTTTTTAAATTCACATCTCAAGACATTTCTATTAAGGTTCAAACCCAAGTTAAATATTAATCTTGAGGGATTGGATTTGTTAATAAGGATTAAAACCAAAACACACAGTAAGAGATAGCAAAAAAAGTTTCGATATTTGTTGTAGGTTTACATTTTACAAAATAATGTGACTGGTATGTTCTAAGGGATTAAGCAAAATCTGCCAGCAATGTAAAAAATGCCTAAGTAAATACCCTAGAAATGTTTTTACTGGGAACTGAATGTTATGTTTTCAAGTTTACACCATCTTAACACTTTTTTGATTTTATGTTTTTCAGAATGAAAAAAAAAAACACTTCTAAGACATTAATGAGTTTTTTTTGTGTTGTGTGAGTATACAAATATAATACATATAAAAACATTTTGATCATTCAAATTGTAACCTTTATGCATGTAATTTTATTTATTTGCAACGTAACATAAATGGAATTGATCAATTGCTTGGTTATTTTTGTTCATACGAGCTACAAAAAGTTATAGATAAATGTTGAATTTTAAAACTTGTCCATTAAAATAAAATGTTTTCATCAGTATTGTGAAAAAAATAAGAGTTTTAAATAATTATGACTATAATTTCATATACGCTATTTGTTTTAAACTTTTATACGTTTCATTTTAACTGTTGTTCAGAACTTAATTTGAATTTTTATATATTTTCGTTTGAAAGAACTTAAACGCAGAAAATCTTTTTCTGGAATTTTTAATTGCAATTATATATTCGTAATCAGTGACAAAAGCAAGTTTAAGTATCAACAGAAGCGCTGCTATTATAATTTCTTTTATTTATAGTATATGTATGCGATAAAATTAAATTTTATAACAGAATAATTAGAGAATCAGGAATTATGATAAAATACTTGAGAAATGCTTAATTTTTAAAAGAATTTTTTCATTTAAGAAGAAAATTATTCTATAAGAAAATATAACACAATTTATGCTAAGGAAATATCAGAAGATTACAAATGATGTAAACGATAATACGAGAAGAACAGAAATGATGTTAAAGACAATACAAGAAGAGCACAAATGATGTTTAATACAATACAAGAACACAAACAATATAAAAGACAACATGAAAAGAATACAATTTGTTAAAGAATGAGAGATACTATATAATACATTTTAATAAAAAAAAAATTGTTTCAACAGGCACTCTTTTTTACACAGGACTTTTCACGAAAAATCAATATAAGGCAAAAATAGAAAGAAGAAATGCTGTAATAATAAATAAATAGAACGTCATATATTGCTACAGCAAATTTCATTATTTGCTGCTTTAATTTTATCACTATATATAGTCGTTGATATAATCGTTTGATATCTGCAAATAATAGTCAGACATATATACAGGTGACTAATTCAGTACAATCTAAGAACGTAATGCTTTACCGCAGGAAACTAGATGCAACATGAAATATTTGTATAATATACGAACATGCTTAAATATATATATATCATAATAACAGTCGCGAAACATCATCAAATATAGGTGTCGTAGCAAACTATCTTCTTAATCTTAATCGATCTCTTGACAAAACAATCACAACAATTTTCGATATGTAAAGCAAGTTTATATACTTGTCTATTTTTAACATTTTGTGGTCCTATAAGTTAAGAGCATTCTACATTATTCATTCGTTTTAATTCTTTAAACATAAAGTAATGTTCTAAATAATTTAAGTTTAAAAATAATTATGAGCAGATTATTCAGAGTAATTTTGAATTTTGTAAAAAAAAAAATCTGAAAACTTCAATTTAATTTTTGTTAACTTACTTTTAACTCGAATTTTTAAGAAAAACAACTTTTCAATATTCGGTAAAATAAATAAATGAGCCAAAATTTTTTTAATTTATATAATTTAAAGACAAAATTATATATTAACTATGCACTTTGTTTTCGTTTAAATAATCATTATAAGCTATTATCTAAAAATTTTCTGTTTCACATTTTTGAGTGTTTTTAAGAATAATTATAGTGAAAAAAAATCTTTTTACAGTCGTATCTGACGTTATAATGGAGCATTTTTTACAAAATCAAAATAATATTTTGCTTTTGCCTCCTAAGATTGTTGCCACCTAACGTTAAAATGTATGAAAATTCTGCATACTTAAAATAACATCTTTAAATTGAAAAGTTTAAACTAATTCAAAAACGTTTTTTATTAAATTATGTCAAAATAAGGCCTAGATTATGTTAAATAATAATATAAGTTTAAAATATAGCAAATGATACAATTTGTGTGCATACAAATCTATAAATGTTTAAAAAGTAGAATCATTTTCTAATTTGGTAATTTGGAATGTTTTTTGTTGAAATAAAATAAGCATGCAAAGAATCTTTCGTGATATCAAATTTATAGATTTGCCAAACTTTTAAGAATATATACCGTATTAGTAAGTTGATAAAAATTTGAAATCTACCCTTAATAAATTTCTTAATTTTAAGTGAAATAAAAGCTTTAACAAAGAGTTTTTATCATATTTTAACATTCGAAGGCATCGGTTTTACTTAATGTTGATACATATGGAATTTTTACTCACAGTGTGTTTTTCTGATATAGATAGAGACACTTTAAAATATAGAATTTTAGTTAATCAGGTAGCAATTATAAGGAGAAAAAGGAAAAAAGTGAAAGTAAAGGGAAAAAGTGATACAATTTCTGAGACCGTTTTATGATCTGAGCAGAATTTTAAAGAAATAAAAAATAAGATTTATACATTGTTTTATTTGAGGAATATTAGCAATTATGTCGCAATTTCAAGGTTGTTTTTGTAATTTACTTTAAAAGTTACAATATAAAAATGAAATATTTTGCTGTTGGAAAATATGCCTCTCTATTTCCTGGACAAACAGACATAGAAAACAAACACACATTTGTACCTGACTAATTAATTCTTTTCGCATAATGTCTATTCAACATTAGTATTAAATAAGCTGTTGTCCTCTGGGCGTTACAATTTAAAATAAAATTGAAGAATTTATTTAGATAATAAGTATCAATAAATTAAATAATAAAAATTCTCCTCACCAACAATAATAAAATAAAATAGTATTTCTTTTTATAAAAAGTGGATTATTATTAGAAATAAATAATATTAGAAGTAATATTGATAGTAATAATAATGTGTATGATTAATTTGTAATGTCGCTTTTTTAACTCAAAACTGCGTATTTGGATTTAAAAAAAAATCAAATCGATTATGTTAAATACTAAGAGTTAAGAAATAAATATTACAAAAATTATCTTTAATATTTGAATCATATCTACGGGCTTTGTAAAGATGCAATTTATCTTAAACTACAGCTTAAGAAAAATTTCAAAAAGCATTCGCCAAAATGCTTTGTATTCGATGCACATAAAATACAGTTATTTAATTGCCTTCTTGCTTTTTGCTTCTTTTATACCTTTTGATGAAGGAAAGTAAACTATTTACCAGCTAGTTTTAAATAGTTGACAATAGCTAGCTTTAATTATACTACAAACACAATATAAAATTTTATTGCAATAGAAATATTCTTCATTGTATTTGATTTTTAAGAACATCAATGATTTAAACATATTTATAATCCCAAATAGTTTACAAGAATAATTTCTTAACTTTGAAGTAATTAAGAAGTATATATGTGATTTTGATGGATGAATTCAGCGTTTACCTAAGTGATAATTGATAAAAATAATTTAATGATGACAAAAAAGGGCACCATTTAGAATTGAACGCAGTGTATACATATATATTTTGAATTTTCATAATTTGTGCGCTTGAAAATATATAATTTTTTACCGTATAAAATATCATAATTACATTTAAATAAAACTTGTTTAATACTGATAACAATGATGACAAAATAAGCATGTTCTTCAAATCTAGTTTTTGTTATAGACTTAAAACAGCGAAGAATTTCTATATTTGGATAAAGCATGTAAATTAACATATTTTTTTGATAAAATAGTTATAATATAGAGCTAGCCTAAATGATTTATCATGTTTCAAATGAGTGTTCATTAACAAGCATACGTCGTACAAAGATTGATCATGCATGAGAAGATACATACATTCATCAAGTTTCAGGTACATACAGCAAATGTTCACGGCGCTCACTCTTGGTACATATTTCATATTTCAACTGTAGTTCAGGTCCATTCATACATTCTATAGCAATTTTTTCCATTATTCATCACAGAAGCAGTGAAAACGTTTTTAGAGTACTTACAATGTTATTGACAATGTTATAGAACTTCACTGAAAGATATCCCATTGAGTGAGGTCTGGAGACCTAAGGAGCCATGTCAACGGAGGAACATCACCAAAACCAACAAGCAATGTGACAGTTCTTTGAGAAAAACGTGAACTGGATTACGGTTGGAAATGCTGGGTGCCATCGATGCACTTGGGTGACGAAACTAAGGTGTACTTGGGAGACCATAGGGGCGCAGATTGAACGTTTGAGGTATGTGTCAGTGTATGCATCTTTTCATCAATAACCCATCTTTGTACGCTGTATAATTTTAATTCAACAGTTCTTTTAAACCCGATGAATCATTCAGGCTAAACCTGTTTTTTTTATTCTGTCTACAGTGGATTCGTAACTTTGCATTATTATTGAAGAATATATAGAATTTTCGTGCTATGCCATAGCTGTGAAATATTAAATTAGTTATGAGTCAAATTATGTACAAAGTTTTGAGTGAACTTTTTGTTTAATCTTGAACTACTTCTGTAAAGTGAAAAACACAAAAAATCTAATTCCGTCTTTTTGTTCTTCTCACTATAACTGTATACTACTTATTACAGTGAAAGCTGTACACATGATAAACTACCATACTGTAACCAATCAAGTTCCAGTCTATTTATGATGAAGACAACACATAATGACAGACCGAACTAATGTTTTCTTGTTCTTGGCTCATCCGACTTAGAAAAACAAGATAAAATGGTTTCAGGTGAAAAATATTGTAAGCTTAAATAGATAGATTACATATAACACTTTTCTGTAAGTCTTTATGAAAATATAAATATTCAAATCCGATGTACGGTCATGAAAAAATGTTAGTATATACAATAAAATGCACCAAGGATATATTTAGATTTTCTTTTACATCAATAGCTCTAAGAGAATATTATATTTCTAATAGTTGATATCTTAAGATTAAATATAGTATCAAAAGAAAAGTCACAGCCAACTAGGAATCGGAGAGATAACAAAGCTGCGTCCCCATTTGTGCTCTAGAAGATATAGTAATATGTAAGCTCTACTTTAATAATAAGGCTTTCAGCTTTTCTTCACACATTTATCTCACTTACAAAGCTGCTTCGTTAGAATGATAACAACAAAAAATGCTGCTGATGGTAAAGACAGTACTCTTGGCCACTATGGCTATAATTCCTTATTCCACTCATAGACTTTTTCTTCTCCAATATTTAACGAAACTGCAATATTATAAAGTCCTACTTAGTAACTATCATCTAGCTCTAACCGTATTTGAGCCATTTTGAGAAAGCATTTTGCAAACAAATTGATGCCATTTTCATGCCTTTATAAGAGTTTTCATGAGAGAGAAAGAGAGAGAGAGAGAGAGAGGAATAACAAGCTTTTAAGTAAATTCTTTTTAAGTGGACGAAGGAAAGTGAATAATAATTGAAGTGTTTGGTTCCAAAACCACTTAGCAAAATCATAAAACGTTTTTATTGTGAAAAAAATTTCACAATTTTTTAGCATATTTTTTAACTACTTTTAATTAGAACCTTAAAACACAGCAGAATGTTATCGTTTTTTTAAAAAACCAAACTCTGGTTGGTTAAAACTATTTTCAGAGAAAAATAGTGAAAATTCTTCGTTTTTTATGATAATGCCTTTGGATAAGGAATAACCACAAAATAAAGCAGATAGTTATTTATTTAAAAAACCAAAATTAACGTATCTAAATCGACTCATATCGAAAGCAGCTCCATTAAAAAGGCTTGAATCGAAATGGAAAATTTTTAAAGAAACAAAAATAATCACATGACGTGCAAAATTTTTGATGGTCTTGGAACCGAAGGCCACAATTATAGAACGAATCACAAGTTTAGAGTCTTTTGAATAGCTTACCCTTAAAAATGTTTTTTGATAAAATGCAAAATATCCTCCGAATTAAAAGACATTCAACAGTGTTGATTTCTTTCTTTTCTTTTAAACTCAGTTTATTTCGCTTAGTACGGGCCTTAAATCACAGATGAAGTCAGGGACGATAAGTTGTTCTCACGTAAACGATGAAATGAAGAAAAAAAAGCACTTCGTATACTTGTATAAGTAAACAAAACTCGTATACTTAGTGGGAGAATTAGCTCGGTCTGTCATTTATTTTTCGAATCAGGCCTCCTTTGGTGCGTTGTTCTGTATTCACATTATTACACATTTTCCTTGTAGTTTCTCTTTGCGAAGCTGCGATCTTTTCTTGCTCGTATCCATGTTAAGACTCACGTTTCGCCTTTTTTCCATGTTTAAAAGTTCCTGGAAGAGTTCTTTTACGTTACAGTTGGTCTTCGCAGACGTTTCCATGAAACCACAGCTCCATCTCTTCGCCTGTTCCTGCCCAGTCGTCGTTTGCACCTCTCTAGACTCGGCTTCGTCACACTTGTTACCCACAAGCATGATGGGAATGCCCTCCATGTCTCCACTTTTGACTTCTTGGATGACCTCGAAGATGGGACGAAGTTCTTCTAGAGACTGTGCGGAGGTCACAGCGTATACAAGAATAAAAGCATGTCCCTTGGAGATGTTCAGTCTCTGCATGGCAGGGAATTGGTGACTACCCGTCGTGTCCGTGATTTGAAGAGTGCATATGTTCTTGTTGCAACTTATTACCTGAAAAGAAGACAACAATGATGTCACTCAGATTTATGAAAATATTAAAAAAAAAGAGGAATTTATTGGTGCAGACTGTCCATCATAAGATGAACTTCTGTCAGCAATGCCGCCAAGCTTATACAGGGTTTACCCTATGATGGACAAGTCAATAAATGCATCGAGAAATCAAAATACATAATTTAAGATCAAAATTCTCATGGTATGAATGTTTAAAATTTAAGAGGTGGCTACACTTAATCATTTTAATTTGTAAATTTGTCACTATAATTTATCTTTCAATTTATTTTGCTTCACATTCTACCTTTGAAATACTGATAAAGGACAATTCTTTTCGAAACGGCATTTTTTTTTATTTGAAGTATTACAGATCTAATCCCATAAGGTTCTCACTTAAAATTTTGAAGAAATTCACAAAAGTAATTTTTCTGACGCTTGTAAATACGATGATTTTCGGAGTGTTTGAATATTACGCATAGTTATAAAATTTTAGAAAAAAAAATACAACTTTTGTATAAATTAAATAATTAAAAAAGATTTTCCAGCCCTCTGATCGCTTGACTTGGAATTTCTAGAATTTTCAGGAAACTGTGCTTAGGTCAAACTAGAAGGCTTTTCTCTTATTATATTCATAAAACTTCCAACCAACCCAGAAGTCTTAAAGTTCCAGAATATTAATCGAGCCCATTTGAGAGCAAATGCTTTAAAACTTTACTGTAAATTAAAACTGAATAGCAAGCATTCATATTTGCGTGAATTTTTAAAATACTGCGGTAGTTTCAATCATATTAAATAAAACGCGAAAGCTTCAATTTTGCTACCTCATTCATTAATTAGGAAAATTATCAATTCAGTGCAAACAATTTAGTACGAGCCGCTGGTGGCTCAGGGGATAGAGAGTTCGCCTTCCAATGAGGTGAACCGGGTTCGAATCCCACCGATGGCTGGTCGTTTCTAATTCTACACCAGGCTCGAACCGACCACAGTGCTGCAGTAAAAATATCCTCAGTGGTAGACGGATCATGGGTTAGAGTCCCTTCGCGTCAGGGTAACCGGTCTCGTGGTCTTCCTCTCCATGTAACGCAAATGCGGTTTAGTTCAGTTTAAAAGCCCTCCACGAAGGCAAATTTCTCCCAACACTTAATCTAGGAGTTTCCTTGTCTTCTGGATTGGGTTCAAAATTACAAGGATACGGAGTTAAGCACTAGCAGTCGTAAATCCAAAATTGGGTCGGCTGTTCAACGACGGTTATTCAGTACAAACTCACCCAGGGCACATTATATAAATTTACATCACCTAAGTACCATCCGTTTGTTGGATGAAATCCAGCGGATATCACAATAATTCCATAAATATAATAATTCGGAAAAATGGAAAAGTTATTATTTATACGCTCAAGATTTCATAGCAAGTTGTTAATTGTCCTTCTTACATTATCCATTCAAACATATGTATTGTTTCTTTTAGTTTGAACTTAAAAATTAAAGTATTGAGAACTTATTGTTTATTTAAAAAATAAGAAAACAAATCTTACGTTGAGTAGGTTTAATTGGTCTTAGACAAATTTCAGATTGTATCAATATGTTATTAATTATGTTTGACTCAGATATTTATTATTCATTCTAGAAATGCGAAATTCTTAAAATCTACTCAATGAAAGTCAAAGAAGTAGCGACACAAAGAATAAAAAAGGTAAAAATTTTAAAATTATCTTTAATAATTAATATTACATGAAATACGAATTCAAAAACATTTTTCATACATACACACAGGATAACTTATCAAATCTTATGCGATTTGCACACAAGCATAGAATCAACTTTGTTTGCACTGCAAGATTTTTTTTTCATAAAAAGAAAATAAAATTTTCATAATGATAAAATTGAACTACCTAGCTTCTTCAAATAAATTATATTGATTAAGTGATTCCTAATGAATAAACTTAATTTATATTAGTAATATTTTATACGAAATATAAAATATAATTAGTGAACTTATAATTCAATCATAAGACATGTATTAAGTAGTTGCACAGTTTATTTTTAAACCATGAATTTGCAAACAGCTAACAATTAAATTCAAAGTATTTCTGTTAATAAATCAACCATTTTATTCAAGTACAGACACTGAAAAGTAAGCTCATCTTTTCTCATAAATAACAAAAGTTTCTCGAATTTTATTAAGCATCATTAAGTTAATTTAGTATCTTTTTTTGGAAGATACCTTAGTAAAATTTAGTTTCCAAGAATTTCTATTTCCCTAAAACAAAAATAAATAAATTAATTAAAAACTTATAAATTTGTTCCAAGCAACGTTAAAGTTCATTAAAGACTGGAATCTCATTAGCTCCTAACAAGTAATTGATTAATTAAATCAATGTTTTTTTTCCTTTGAAGGAAAGCTAAGGAAAGCAAACAGTAATAACAATAAAACTTGGTGTCTTCTCACCTGGCAACAGAAACTCGAGTTTTAAAACATAGAATAGAAAAGAAGTGAAGTGAGAGGTTTTGTCAAGTCAACGTCATTTTTTAATCTCAAACAATCTTGTTACAATTTACATTTCTTTTTGATAAAATCTTTCGTGCAACTTTTAATGAATTTCATCGTGATTATGCTGGCACTAATTAGGTATTTAAGACGGCAGGTGGAAGATTCTCGTAATTTGACGAAAGGTTAAATATAATAGATTGCAGGGAAGTTTAGGAAAAAATAATTCAAAAACATTTTTTCGCATCCGTAAGGTATTACAAATCAGCCAACATAGAATAAATTAATTTACATCCTTTTAATTTTTTTATTTAATTCCATTTTTTGCGAAACTTTTTATAGGAAACAAATTTTGTAATGTTTTTAAGTTATTCAGAATGACATTTTTCAAAACTACTATTTATAATTAGATTAGGGACAAATTTCTTTTTAGAAAAAATGCAGGTTTTGATTTGAATTTCTTGTGTGATGTTGTACCAGTTAATAAGTTTAAAAAAATTTTTTACAAATTTTTTTTCTTATTTTTGATTAGTTTTATCAAACAATAAGTGATGTGACTTACTGTTTGATAAAACTGAGCATACCATGCTTCAATACAATCAATATATATATATATATATATATATATATTAATCT